ATTGTCAAAATGTAATTTTATATTTTCTTTGCTTAGAAATTTGTAAAAGCCTTGATCACTCACACACATGCACACACATAGTGTTAGAACACACTAACACATGCTTAGTGTGTTGGTTAATAATAGAAATCCCCTATGTTAGCCATTAGAGTTTATAGATATTAAGTGGGTCTTAAAACATTTCATTTACACCCCTTAGAAATTAGAATCTGGAAAAATGCAAAAGACTAAAGTTGTAGGTCTCTTCAAGAGCTTTCCAACAAATCTTAAATCACCTCATTCCGATATCAGATGAGAAAGTTATAGTCAAAATACTAAACAGAAAAATTTCAGAATCTGAGTTTACAGTGTAGTCGACTACTATGCCTTGTAGTCGACTACTGAGCAATTTTCTGACTTCACATAGTCTGTTTAGACTCAGTGTAGTCGACTACTATGACTTGTAGTCGACTACAGATGCAGTTTTTCCAGATTTCAGGTTTAAAATAAGTGACCGTTTATAGCCGTTTTGTGGGTTTAAAATTATGTCATTTCAGAGGCTATAAATAGGTTTAAACATCAGAAAACAACAACCAAGTTTTACACTTGCAAGATCAAACATTTTGTGCAAATTCACTCTCTAATTTTCCAGATTTTCATGCTAAGTGTTTAGAAAAAGAGAGTTTCTGATATTGCCTTGGTTTCAATCATTCTTAGAGATTGTATAGACAATATTCAGAGAGTTAAAAGAATCCTAAGCCACTGCAGCACTTCACTACACATTCAAGGCTTATAGGATCAATTGTGTTCTTGCTTCAAAAAGGATTTCTCTCGGGTTTGAGAGGGTTGATCTCTTGGTTTAGAGATTGGGTGGCAATTGGCATGGTCTTGTCAATTGGTGTTGCAATTTGCATGGTCTTGCAAATTGGTCAGGTTTGCTTTTGATTTTGTAAGGTTTCAAAATCATAGTGGAAATCTCAAGCGGGATTTGCTTGGGGACTGGATGTACACCGGGTTGGTGGAACCAGTATAAAACTTTGTGTTTGTGATTGTGTAGGATGAAGATCTACCTCCAATCTCTTGGCTACGAACTTTGGAATGTTGTGGAAACAAAATATGAGAAGCCAACAACTCCTTTTGCAGAATGGACTACTTCTCAAAGAAATAATGCAAATTTGGATTCAAAAGCAATGAATGCATTATTTTGTGCACTTGACAAGAATGAGTTCAATAGGGTGTCAACAGCCACATGTGCATACGATATTTGGCATACACTTAAGGTAACTCATGAAGGTACAAATAAAGTTAAATAATCTAAAATATCTGTTCTTGTGCACAGGTTTGAGTTATTCAAAATGAAAGAACAAAAAGAGGAATCCACTCACATGTGCTTCATGGCACAAGAAGATGAGGTATGCAATAATGAAGAATTATTAGATGCTTTCAATGAATTATATGAAACATTTTTGAGATTAAAGGCTTCACATAATTTTCTTAAAGGTGAAAATAAAAGATTACTTGAAGAAATTTCTGATTTTAATTCTTCTACTATTTCTAATTCTCAAGTAATTGAATTGAAAGAGGAAAATAAATCCTTGCTTAAAGAAAATCATATTTTGACTAATGAGAATGTTTATCTAAAATCAGAATGTAATGATTTAAAAATCCGCATTAATGTTTTAGATAAAGATATTTCTTCTATTAAATTAAAATAAGATGATATATGTTTGAATGTTAGTAAATTGAATAAAAGTAAAGAGAATTTGAATAATTTGCTCTCATTTCAAAAATCTTCAAACAATCATTTTGGCATTGGATTTGTTCCTAAGTATTTTATAAAGAATGATTATGTTTTGAAGAATAATAATAAGAATATTCATGCTAAACAAAATAAGTATATATGGATTCCTAAGTATTTGAATATTCATGATAGGAATTATTATATTTCATCTTATATTTATGAAGTTTGCAATTCAAAGAATTAATTTGAATATTCATGATAGGAATTATTATATTTCATCTTATATTTATGAAGTTTGCAATTCAAAGAATTACACTTATGTTAACAAATGGAAACCAAATTCCAAGTGGATTTGGATTCCTAAGGGCTAATCCTAATGATATAATATACAAGGGTACCAAAGTGCTTGATATTTTTATTAAGGTACCCAAGAAAAAAAAAATTTAATTAGAATTATGTTTATTTCTTTTTGCTAATGACAAAGGGGGAGTTATATAGAAAATTTTAATTTTAAATTTTTTACTAATGCTTTGATGCCGGGGGAGTAAAAGATTTTATTTAATGATTTCATGCAGGGGGATTAAAATTTTTATATGTTAATAACATATATTTGTCATCATCAAAAAGGGGGAGAATGTTAGGAATCTTGACCCCAAGATTAGTTTGTTTTGATGATAACAAATATTATATGTTGTGTGTATTATGTGCTAACATTTGTTTTGCAGTATCAGAGCTATATCAATAATTATATTCAAAGAGATACTCAAGACATAGATGGGTTCAAGGCAAAATAAAGCAAAGAAGAAGATATACTTTATTGTCAAAATGTAATTTTATATTTTCTTTGCTTAGAAATTTGTACAAACCTTGATCACTCACACACATACACACACATAGTGTTAGAACACACTAATACATGCTTAGTGTGTTGGTTAATAATAGAAATCCCCTATGTTAGCCATTAGAGTTTATAGATATTAAGTGAGTCTTAAAACATTTCATTTACACCCCTTAGAAATTAGAATCTGGAAAAACTCAAAAGACTAAAGTTGTAGGTCTCTTCAAGAGCTTTCCAACAAATCTTAAATCACCTCATTCCGATATCGGATGAGAAATTTATAGTCAAAATACTAAACAAAAAAATTCCAGAATCTGAGTTTACAGTGTAGTCGACTACTATGCCTTGTAGTCGACTACTGAGCAATTTTCTGACTTCACATAGTCTGTTTAGACTCAGTGTAGTCAACTACTATGACTTGTAGTCGACTACAGATGCAGTTTTTCCAGATTTTAGGTTTAAAATAAGTGACTGTTTATAGCCGTTTTGTGGACGTTAATTGGGTTTAAAATTATGTCATTTCAGAGGCTATAAATAGGTTTAAACATCAGAAAACAAGCACCAAGTTTTACACTTGCAAGATCAAACATTTTGTGCATATTCACTCTCTAATTTTCCAGATTTTCATGCTAAGTGTTTAGAAAAAGAGAGTTTCTGATATTGCCTTGGTTTCAATCATTCTTAGAGATTATATAGACAATATTCAGAGAGTTAAAAGAATCCTAAGCCACTGCAGTACTTCACTACACATTCAAGGCTTATAGGAGCAATTGTGTTCTTGCTTCAAAAAGGATTTCTCTCGGGTTTGAGAGGGTTGATCTCTTGGTTTAGAGATTGGGTGGCAATTGGCATGGTCTTGTCAATTAGTGTTGCAATTTGCATGGTCTTGCAAATTGGTCAGGTTTGCTTTTGATTTTGTAAGGTTTCAAAATCATAGTGGAAATCTCAAGCGGGATTTGCTTGGGGACTGGATGTACACCGGGTTGGTGGAACCAGTATAAAACTTTGTGTTTGTGATTGTGAATTTCTGAGGTTGCCATTTTTCTTTGCAATTTATAATCTACTTTGCATATATTTTAAAAGAACATTATTCACCCCTCTTCTAGTGTTCTAGTGTATCTATTTCAGATCCTACAAAATAGGTCCGTCTCGCCTTAAGCCGGCCACCATCGGCCAAGCCCAACCCAACCCCAAATTTTAATTATTAGTTTTTAGTTTTTAGTTAACATTTTTTTCTTTTTTCCTCTTGTATTTATAATTTAAATTTAAATTAAAGGAAAATTAACATTCTGTGGATGTAGGTCCTCCTTCGAAGTCCGAATTATTATATATTTATATTTGCAACATTTTTCTATGTGATGTTTATCTTTGTATAATGTATGTGTATATATCATTTTAAATAAAGAGCTAAATAGAAAAATAAGTTACTCGTATTATGGT